TATATTATAACAATATAAAATATTTATATAATTAATAATTATTTGAACAAATATCAGATACTTATATTAAGACAGGATTATTGAGTCATAGAACTTCTGAGCGGTTAGAAAACATTTGCTGATGAGGCCTTTGGGGTTCAGAGAGGTTTGGTAATTATACACACACACACACACACACACACACACACACACACACAAAAGCTTGTTAGTTGTTGAGTCAGTTATATGAACTGCTTAATACACTCTGCATTTGAGTATTGTACATATGCTTATGCTTTGATGTATTTGGTATTTTTAATTATCCACCAGTATTTCAAAAAAATTTCAACCTCAACTTTTGATTTCTGCGTTCATCTTCTAAACATATATATTGCCACTGACTTTTTTTATTTCTATCTCACATACACCATAAATATTTTCAGTTTGCAAATCAGTTTAAATGGTAAAGAGAATCAAAAAAAGAATTTATACCTTAAATATTTTAATGTGTTTACACTCTTTTATAAAACATTTTAATATGCTCTGATAAAATTGTCTATTTTCCTAATAAGGTATTAAGTTTGGTGACTGAAAACAGTTCTCCAAAGGAATGTAACTCACATTAATTTTTCATGTGCTCTCTTTTACTTATAGTTTGATACTCCATATGTTTAAAGACTAACAGAAAAAAAAAACCCCACTGGATTTGAATTTGGGAGACAGACCCAAGTCTCCAGTGACATCTTCATGTTGGTTACCTTGGGTAAATTTCATTTTTGTGCTTCTGTTTCATTTAATTTAAAATGAGTAGTTAAAAGCTTCAAAGACTCTTCCCCACAACTCTAAGATTTCATGAGCTCAAAATAAGATTTGATTGAAAGAAATGTGTGGGCTTCATTATGTGGCTGCCCAGTATTTTCATGGACATACACTTAATACATACATCTGACTTTCCTTTAAGGAAATTAACTCTTAGTAGGTGTGAGATATGGACATCAAGAAAAGTGGGATAAATGAAGGAGAAAAAAGTTAATGACAAAGGAGGAATGGTAGGTGGTTGAAATGACTCCCCTTTCACCTCTTTATGTACAGTCTAATTATTCCTATTTGAAAACCTACTGGCACCAGGTATTATCAACAGGGATGACTAATATGTAATTTTTATCTTTACTGGGTTACATTTGGCCCAAGGGCAGTTGACAGATGTCAGTCAGGTGGCTGGTCAATGAGGAGATACACATAAAGCTGCCAAAATACTTTTGTTTCTTTAAATACCTATAAGAAAAACCATTTTAGCTGGAAACTCTGTTGTCCTGAAATTAAATAGATTGATATTCACAATATAATTTATTGAAGTTAGTTGCTGGAGAATCAAGATTGTCCTTATGAATACATAAGGTAAACAAAATGTTTTTCAAATGTCTTTCCGAAACAGTGGAATAATTATATGTTCTCCACTATAAATATGTCCTTAGGGTGTGAAGATGTATTGTAAATAATGCTTAAAATGCATATGTTTCCAAATTAATCTTTTTGGGAACATATGAGTTATTGCAACTTTAATCCACAATTTCTGACTAGGACTTATTAAAAGAAATCATTCCCATACATTGAGGGAGTTGGCATAGGTATTTTCCAGACATGAAAATTGAAAGTTTATCAGAGAAGGACAAACATGTAGCTGCATGTCAAACTAGGGATTAAAGCGTCTTCTCATAATCAAAAGAAAACAATCATGGAATTTTGGATTAAGTCACAATTCAGGGTGTGGTTAAAATCATAAACTTTAGTTATTTAGAAATATTTGGGCTATACCTAACATTGTTACGAATAGGTCCAGTCACACTTTAATAATTCACAAGTGCATAAAAATAGTTTGGAAGAAGCTTTTGTACTGCTTACACTCGGTGTTAATAACAAACAGTGCAATAATTATAGCCAATAGTAATGCACATACAAATCTAACAAATGTACTTCTGAAGTTGATTTAAGAGTGTATGTTCAGCTTTGCAGTAATTAGTTACGTCTAAAAGTGAGTGATCTGATTCTTTAGGAATATAGCGTTTAACTGACCAGATAAATAAAATCATCAAGTGCATGGAGTACATACTCATTCTTTAAAGGACTAATGAAGTTATCTAAAAAATTTAGTGACCATGGTTACTCAGGTGCCAGAATCAATATAATGAAGAAAAATATCACACAAAAATAGCAGTTTGAAACCACAATATATTCCTTTTTAACAATAAAATATGCTTCGATTTTCTGAATCATGTTCTACATGTAATAATTTATAATGAAAATCAAATTTGGGTTTACATTTTTTAAAACATGGGTCCATTAAATTGTAGATAATATTATGTTTTAAAAATATTAGTTTTTTGGTTGGATCATTTCTGGTAATTTTTAAAACCACAAATATTTCATATTTTAAATAGCAATTAAGTCATACTAAAAGAGTATGATACTTATAAATTGGTGACATATCTGTGTCAGCATTGATTTGAAAATTGTTTTAGACATAGTGGTCATTTAAGAAAGATCTTATTTTCCCACTATACAACTATGTATTAAACATGTAGATTGAAAATTATTGATGGGATCATCAGAATAAAACAATTGCCTCATAGTATTAGTAATTTATATTGGTAGGGGCCTTTTTCTTCTTAAGCACCAATTCTACCCCCCACAGTCCAGAAAATTGATTTTATGCATAATAATTTATAGCATTCTCGATCAATGTATGCTGTGTGTGTTTTACATTCATTAGCCCATGTTGCTTGTGAATATTGAATTTGGTTATTAAAATGGTTTCATATGTTTATGATGTATAGTCCCTAGCTTTGAGCTCCTTACTTGCTTAAATAAATGTTTTCAATTTGCTATAATACAACAATTTGTAGAGAAACGCTGTGAAGCATAGTTAAAAGAATGAGTCCTTGAAATAGCATCACTTTTTAAAAATATATCCTAACATGTGGTCTCGTTTTTCCATGTTTTGCATTAATTAAAGTCTTATTCTGAAAAAAATATTTTTGCCTAAACTTTTGATTTTACAAAATAAAAATACCAAATATATAAATGTACTAATTTTGGAAATCAATGACGTAAAAACATGCTTTAGTACTGTCTTGGTTGTTTATTCCAAAGATTTTTCTTTAAGAAACTCTTTGTAAAGTAATGAGAAAATGTTGCCACTTTTAATTATGAAATCTTCTGTGCAATACATTTTAAAAATAAAATTAATTTCATATTTTTTCTAATCACATTCCTATCACATGAGCACAGAAAAAATACTAGCCCATGAAATATTTGAAAAGAGCATGTACCATTTTACATTTTTATTTGGAGACTTATTGAAAAATAACATTTTATTCAGAATACATGATGACAGAGAAAAAAGATGAAATGATATTTATGTGTTTATTTAAATAGTTTAATATCATATATGTAATTAATTCTTCATCTTTCAGATATTGAAGATAGTAATGAGACCAAAATTAAAATATAAAGTATTTTCTTTAAGAAAAAACTTTTTTTTTTTTTAAAAATCCAGAAAATTGTCAAATGGTAACTGCTCTACTTTCTACACCAGGTAAACACATTGTTGAGTTAGGTGGCTCTGATTCCAATGGTCTCATCAGCTTTCTGAATGTAGGTACCTCAGCAGTGCCTCTTCTAAGATAAGAAAATCAACTTTTAGAGATTAAAAAATATATTTTGGCAATTGAAACTCACCAGTGCCTTTCTGCTTCTCCAGGAAGTTGTACCCGTCAGCACCTGCTGAGGGCTTTGTTGTCCAAACTCTGACAGGTAAAAAAATTCCTGTAGAATAAAGCCAGACCAGCTGGCTTTGAAGAGAAACCCCCCAGTTTGGGCTGTGCTTGCCTCCTCTCCTTTTCTATGAAGACCCAGGCTTTCCCCCCTTGATCGTCAAGCCGTAAGATGCGTGATCCCTGTGCACAAGTGTCTGGCAGGACGAGGTGCACCTGTTCCTGTCACTCTGGAGTAAATTTAGCTGTAAAGGTATCACTGACAACCAGACCTTTGTCAGTGCTGGCAAAAGAACACAGAACTGCTTCCCTCCCCTCCCCCCTTCCAAACCCCTAGGCTGCTAGTTCAAATGGAAAATATCAAATCGGAAGTCTATCCAAAAATCATTCCTAAAAAAATTAAGATTGCTTTCACATGGTAAAAAAGTAAGTTTCCTTATTTCACACAGACTTCAAAATTACATTTCCAAGAATAATCTTGGAACAAGACAAGTTTTTGTTCAATTAATTGTGGCTGGAAACTTTTTAATGGAAACATACCACACACTTCCTTCATTTCAGGTTATTAAATTGTGTTAAGCATTAAAGTTAGTTGCCATTCTTTGCTGTAGCTCATTTGTTCTTTTGGATCCAAAGAAATATTAGAAGGTTAAAACTTATCACATAGGAGGGATTAATCACACTACCAAAATTAGAAAGCATGTAGTTCTGAGAGACTGAATGTCAAAATTGTAGGCTCATAGCACTTAAACTTTTGGGAATCTAGGATCCCACCACAACATTTAAAATGGCAGCTAATGTCTGTGGGTGTTTAGGAGCTGGCAAAAGCTAGCATTCTCCTACTCTTTGATTAAGGTAAGGACATTTATCATTTATGTGAAGTTTTTAAACATTAATTTCTTTACTGATGGTTTGAGAACAACTCCTTTTGAAGGAAAATAGAGGCAGGCAGTGTTCATTTATATGTTTGACATAAATATAGTAGTTAAGATATTTTAGCAGCCCAAGAAGTAATGTGCTTAGCCAAAGCATTTTGAGTTTCTTTTTAATAATTACAATTTCTTAAGTGGTGTTAAAAAGAGTTTTGCAAAGCACCTGTTCTACCATATTATTGCTACCTACAAGGGTTGGGTGTGATGAGAAAAAGAAATCTGGGTCAAAATAAAAAAAATGCTTTGTAAAATAAACAAAGTTCCTATTTACTTACTATGTATAAACAGCCACTCACCAAGCCTCATTTCTCCACAGGGCACCACTTTCAGATAAAAACATAGACCTGAATGGCATCATCCAGTATCCAAGGAAACCATGTAAGTACCTCTCTCAGTGTGTACTTCTCTTATTCAGAGTTTAAAAGCTAGCTGAGTACTGAATAAGTGAGTGTTTTTATTTAATAATTATACAGGAGGTACTTTTTAGGAGTTAGCTAAAAAGAAACAGGTTCTTGATTGTTATGTGCGTCATAACAAAATGCTTATGTTTTCATCATATTTCATAAAATTATGTGTTTAGTTCCAAACTCTCCATCAATTCTCATTCTTGGGTACAAAACAGCTACTCAAAGTCCTAATGAATTGAGAGTTTCAAACTTTTCCAAGCCCCATTAGTGTCTGAGAAACAATGTTTCAGAGGCCTTGTGCCAAGAATAGTTACCTAATTGTAATAAAACTCTTTAAAATTTAAAAATTAAGAAAAAACAGCTTGGAAAATAATATTTTATTGGTAAACATTTATAGCAATTTATTGGGTTTTAGACTTGCTTAGGGGTGAGCAAGTGTGCAAAGAGATGAGGTTACAAATTTAAACAATGCAAAGAATCTTGAAAGCAAGTGTAATTTCCAAGATGCAAAAATCTGTAGAAAAGTTTCGAAGGTTGGCATATTCTTTTCTTTTCTTTTCTTCCCCAAATGAATGTACTTTTTTTTTTTTTTGTAACTAATTCCAAGGTTCTAATTAATTTTCAGAACTATGGAATCTGCTGTGGAAATTTAGTTTCCAAATAACATGCTATTCTGGAAAATGATCAATTTCTAAAATATTTGGAATTTTCTGTTAAGTATTTATTAACCTGGACTTTATTATTTTTTCATTGTTGCACTACCTACTTTTAAAATTAAATATTTTCAATAGTAAATGATTATTCATTATTATTTACTTTTTCATGAAAATACTTAAAATTTTCTGTTTACTCTTGGAATTATAGATTTCTTTTTTTAGCCATTTGGATCAGCTATATGGTTTATTTAGTCTTTTAAATACAGGCATTTTATGTTTCATCAAGGTTTACAGCAGTTGCATTTAAATGCAACTGGTTTAGCCCTGCGGTTTGTGAGTTTTTCATATTATTTTCATTTACTTTTGTTACTCTTGTATTTCTATCTTTCCTCTGCACCATGGTTCCTTTCTAAGCATAGCGGTAGAGATGATCTCACTCACAGTTTCTCTGCTGTATTAGACCAGGTAGACCATGTTCATATTCAGGTCTAACTTCAGGAGCATTTCACTTTCTTACATGAGGAAGTCAAATTGTATTGTTTATACATTTTCATGTTTCTGTCTTTTTATATATGTTACAAAATGCATCTTTTTGAATTGAGAGATGAGAAGTTATGTGAGACTAAGGAATTTGCTGGAACTTTAGAAGGGTGTAACAAATAGCTTCCTCACTTGGTAGAAAGCGAATTTTTTATGCTAGTTACAAATTCACAAGTGTGGAGCTTGAGGCCTGAAGTACTACCCTCTAAAATAGGAATTCCTTGCCACAAAATAAAGGTTGGGCCGTTGTTGGGTAAACTTGGAAGCAGAGCATGGTTAGAATGGATCTTTATAAAGAAAGAAAATGCAAATTGAAGGGGAAGACTGGCTAATGTTATAATTCTGTATCTTGGGGAAATGGAATCTTTTGAAATTCCAGTCTGCTTATAGCGAGAGAATAAAGAAAATCTATACTGCAATGATTATGGCACATTTTTAACTATTTATATTATAATACAGATTTTCTAGAAAAATCATTTAAATTTGATACGTTTGATTCAACCTCCTATAACAAAGGAAAAATGACTTGATAGAAATAAATTAATATCTACATATCCATTCATCAGTAGTGTTCTCTCTAACAAAGACCATCATTATTCAATAGAACTTTCTGTGATGATAAATATGTTCTATATCTGCACTGTCCAATATGGTACCCAGTAGCCACATGTGGCTATTGAGCACTTGAAATGTGAGTAGTGCAATGAAGAAACTAAATTTTGAAATTTATTTAAATTTAATTAACTTAAATTTACACAGGCGACATGTGACTAAGTGTTTACTGTACTAGTATTTTGCATTCATCAGAATTTAAAATACTATCTTGCAAATTCTCATCTGTTGGTATTGTATCATACAATATAATTTTTATATTTACTTTAATATTTGAAATATCATTGCAGTGGAACTTCTTTATAACATTTTCCCAGAGATTAATGTTTTTAATATTGTTGATGGGGCGACATTATAACATTGTTTTATAAGCCTTGGGTAGCAACTTTTAAATGGCCATTATAAACAAGACTGTGTCTAAAACGAAAAACACTAATGAAAGTTCTTACTATGGTGATAAATATTTTGAGAAGTTCAGCTACAACTTCTGCAATACATTTTTGCAAATAATTCCCAAAATGTAAGCAGCCTACAAAAATGCTCACTAGCCTTGATTCCACAAAGCTAATTCTGCTCCCAAAGCACATGTCAGGTTTTAAATCTGCCCCATGGCCTTTTCAGGCATTTAGTGAAAATGAACATTAGAATGCATGATGATATTTTGATAATATTATTAGTACAGTAATATTATAGACATAATACTTACCTAAAAATATACTGGTAATTTAAAATTTACTTCATAGGTTATTGGTTATTTGTAGGATCCTGAACTAGAGACCATGAGAGATTTTTTGGAAATAGAAGATGTAACACTCATCTTCTTAGGGACTCCATTTATTGGACTTGGGTATATCTTTTTGGATGGGTAGGATTCAAATCAGTTAAGAAGAGAGAGGATACTTTTTCTTTTGGCAGAACCTTACACAAGCTACTCCGAGTGTCCGTCTTACTGCAAAACACCCAGATTCTAGATAAAGCCTACCTTCTAATGAGTTACTTGATCCCCCCCCAAAAAAATTTTGGACATCTCCAAAGATTCTTCTCCCTCACAAACAAACGAAGTGTAGTGGAGAGTAGAACTGAGAGCAATACGCAAACAGGAAATGTGGGAATGGCAAAATTGATTTGGATGAGTTGTATTGCAAGGATGCTGTTGGAAGGATAGCAGCCATGTGCCCTATGAGATTTCTCGTAAACCTAGCCTTATTAGAAGAACAGGAAGCAGTAACAACCACAGTTATAGACCCAGCTTTCTAGTCTCCTTTGATGTCTTCAATTAGGTAGTCAACCACTTGTGTACTGCCAGATCTATTTTCAGAAAAAATGTCTATCCTTAAAAGCCATTGACCTGTGTGGAGAAAACATGGTCTTCCATTAAGGGAATCTTACAATTCAGTCTTCATTGTCCTTGTAAAATGTTATCTCTGATATCTCTAATGCTTGAGAAATAGCTTTCATTAAGAAACATGGAATGTGACACCTGAGTCCTTAACCACTGCTTCAATTTATTATGTAATTATTTACGTATTTTAAAATTAATCTAAATTTTTATTATGAAAATTTCAAACATATTAAAAAATAAAGAGAATAATATAATGAACTATGCCTACCTTCAATAACTATCATCTAATGACCAATTACGTTTCATCATTTCTACTTTCCACTCCACCCCAAATTTTTTTGAAGACAATGCCAGGCCTGACATTATTTCATCTTTTAATATTTCAGAGGTATCTTTAAAAGATTAGAACTTGCTTTTTAACTGAAAATATGAACCACATCTAAAAAATGAATTGTATCTAAAAACTCAATATGTCCTTATTGTTATCACATATATGCAATCAGTATTCAAATTTTCCAAATTTTTATGATTACTTTTTACTGTTTGAAACAGAATATAAATAAGATCTGTGCATTGCAATTGGTTGATATTTCTCTTCTCTTTTCATCTATAGGTTTGTATTTATTTTCCTTATTTATTGAGGAAACGGGATTGTTTATGCGTAGAGCTTTCCACAGTTTATATTTGCTGATGCATTTCTGTAGAGTTGTTAAATAAGCTCCTCTATCCCATGTCTTTCTTTCGTTCTTTTTTT